TGTTGTTTTTCCCTAATTTTCACCCGCCGCCGTCAGGCCATGGCGCTAAAAAAAAAAAATGTTTTGCGCTTTAAAGGACAACTCCACTAACATCCGATTGATGGAATGAAATGTAGTGACTATAGTAGGTTATTGACACTCGCCTCTTGTGCCATCATTAGACCATTTTTTTTTCCCAGTTTCTAATTCTGGGCCGCACATTTCCCAGACTCCTTACTATGTATATTCCCCTGGCCTCTCTGTTGGTTCTAGAAAATCTTATCCAACCAGAGGCTTAATAGGAAACCAACTTTAAAATAGGCCATTGAGGTGACTATGGTTTCCCACTCTCCAGTACCTCTGTGCAGAGGAACATTGAGGTACCTAAATGATGACCGTCAACTGACAGAAGGTTGATATTGGTATTCCAAGTTGCAGTAAAAAAACCGAAGCATTGACAAGTACAGCAGTTGTAGAGGTCACTGCATCAATTGCCTATGTGCCTGCATATTAACCAGTTTCACCACCAAGCTGCAGGTTTCTTGCAGCCAAATTGTCTCTTGAAATGTGTACAAGTTCTTCCTCACTCATTTTGTTTGGCCAAACCAGTGCGGAAAAGAGAAGTTTTATCCTTTTTTGCACCATGCAAATTGGTAAGCTTGGGGCTACACAAGAGATTTCTAACCTCCCAGATTATAAAAACTTTTGAAGAAAGTGATCATTACCCTGCATGGGTATACATTTTGGGGTAATTGCTGAGAGATTATTTTTACAAGATTCATCTCACAGTGATATACCTGATGGAAGAATGGGGGAAATAATCACCTCTGTAGTGCTTGAGGGATGTACAAACCTCTTCCATTTAAGGTCTGTGGAAGAGAAGAGGACCTTCATTGTCAACAATGAGCTTTAATTCAGAGGTTTTGTAAATCAGTTGCACGATTGCTAATTTTTTGCATAGCTATTCTGGTTAAAGAAAAACCTGTAATGAGAAACAGGCCATTTTTTGGCCTCTCCTTCTGAACATACTAGATGCTAGCCTGCCATGCTAACCTGCTTGCGAGTCATTTGCCTGGAACGAATATGCAGATAGGAATGTCTACCTTGCCTCATCTGTATATAAGTTGGGTCAGTAACTCCTATAATACTGAAGCCTGAGGGTCAGGATAATGGCCACTTAGGATGATTAGTATTGGTAGCCTTAGCATTTGCTTTTATAAACCGGTATAATTTTAAGTAACGTGCAATTTTTGTGTTACTAGATTTCTCAAATCATTATGGAAGAACTGTAAATGGTGGAACAAAGGGATGCCTTGGGTGTTAGGTACACAATAGCCTATAATCTTACACAATCCAGCATGCTGTGATCAGCTCAATTATTTAATATATAATACTATATAGCTTATAAGGAGCCACCCAGGAAAAGTCACTGGTCTTCAGTGACTCAACTGAGCCACTAACAATTGCCTGTATAGCTCAAGCGTGAGTGTTTTATTTCGCCGAAAGTGCTTAGCTCTTTAAGGTGTCTCAGCTCATGGCTCTATATATACACGGCGTGTTTGTGGGGCCATGTATTGTAAATGACACCCCAACCGGCTGTAATGTAGCAGCCAACACAGTAGTGCGCACACTGCCTATATTTTGTTGTAATGCACTGCAGTGGGGGAAAAAAGGGTCAGGTGTGTTTTTGGGCCATTGCAGTACATTGGCAGTCCTTCCATAATGAATGGCTTACATTAATGCAATGCACGTTAAAGCACCACGAGGGACAGTTATGAGTGTGAATGGCACCTCAAAAGTTTTGAGATGTAAATGTTGCAATTGATACACTATATTTTATTTGCGCAGTTGCGAGATTAGAATCACCTGTGTAGCCCTTTACAGGATTTGCATGGCCCTCTACCAAAGAGGCGGTTTATAAAATGAGAAGTGTGCTGCTGAGTAGGGAACACCCCCAGCATCCCGTACAAAGATGTCTTCATTAATAAGAATACTACATTATTGTAGTACTGATCCCAGTGCAGCTTCCATTTACGATTTGAAAACTCCATCCTCCAGATCAACCCATCAATGGCCACTGAATCTAAAGATTCCATGTCTTGTTGTTCATGTTATATAAGCCTTAAGTATGAGTTTTTGTTCAAGGCAATACATTTTGAAAAAATATTTATTAAATTCTTTTTGTATGAAAACCTGTGAAATTTGGATTTTATGCTCGTCTTGCAGACCATGCCATTGATTTGAAGAGGGTATTTTTTTGTGACTAGGCCACCTGGTTTTTAAATTGGTTACGGGATATCGAAGACTGGTGCTCAATGCTGTTAGCAAGGCAGATAATTGTTTAAAGGAATGCTATGGAAAGGTGCTTAGAGATGTATATCCTGAGAATATTGGCAAGTTTGAAAAAAGACAATTATTACAATACAAAGCTGGAATTAGTAGTTCTGGGTGGGTTTTACTGCCTCTTGTCAAATGGTCCCATGCTGTGCATACATTATATTTCCTTCAAACATCTATAGTGAGAAATATTCATTTAATATATTGCTGCTCACTCTTCTTTAGATATGGTGGCTACATTTATTTATTTATTTTCTCAGGATTTTAGTTTTCTATAAATTCCACCTGGTGCTCCTGCCGGTAACACACTGTCCTGGGTGACAGCACTTACTTTCCTGTATCTATGGAGGGGCATCATTGGTATATACATGGTGAATTTAACAGACTGAAAAAGTGGCCAAATAAGCAAAGTTGGGGTTTACATACATGGGGCATTGGGGAGGCTATGGTGAGATCAGAAAAAGGAAAGTGCTTTAGATCAGTGTTTTATCAACCGATTTTCAGTCAAGGCACACTTTAGGAGTATACAAAATCTCGAGGCACCCCAGTCTAAAATGTAAAGATTGACCTGTGCCCCCTCCAATATCCAAACCAGACCCTTTTCCAAGATAGAGGTATGGTATGGATTTTAAGTGGAGATCCAACACAAAAGGAGTCCCCTTTCCATTTTTTCCTATGACAGTCCCCTACTTTCACATCAGAGTTGCTCTGTCACATCCGAGTCTTCAGCCCTCAGTTCACCGTGTTCTACCATCACATCTGGAGCCGCAGCTGTGCCAGCATGGCGGAGGTGAACCCAGCCTGGATGGAAATTAGCATCTCTCCTTTCCTGCATGGATCCAACCTTCCTTGAATAAGCGTCATTGGGTTCCTAAGACTAATCTACTTTATGGATGGTATGACCCTGTGGAAAAATTTCAATCCAGGGTGCTTTGGATCATGTAGAGCTTTTTAGCCATCTCTGATACAGTGCTTTTAGAAAATGAGGATATCAAGAGCTAGAGTTTATGGGCTGAAATGCACAACGCACCTTTGCGATCAGGTGCACTGCACATCAATATATCATTTCCTTTAATGCATATTCCTTTTTTTTTTTTATTAATCACTGTGTATATTTGATTTATTAACTTAATAATCAAGAGCCTTAAAATATCATTCCTTTTTATTTATATGTATTTGTTTAGAGTTGAAGGTTTTTGATAGCTTTGTAAGCTCATTTTTTTTTTTTTTTTTAATTTTTGAATTCCTTTCATGTTACATGTTAACTGTATGCCAAAATTTACGGTGTTCAAGAATAGTTTTATTTTTTAAAAAAAGATAAAATAGGAGGGGCACACTTGCCTTGATGCTGTTTTTTGTACAATGTCAAATGTTAAACAACTTTATATAGTATCACTTAAAAAAAAACAAAAAACTTTTTTGTAAATTCAGCCTGAAACGGTTTTTTCAGAGGTAGAGTTTAGAACAACAAGTTTAGAACTTTGCTGCTTTGGCTTTGATATAAACAAATAAAATTCAAAAATGGAAAAAAAATATATATCGCTGTGACCGGCAGGATTTCTGCTACAAGGCAGGTCCAGGGAACAT